TAAGTTTGTTTCCGTTGATGTGAAAAACCGTCGCGTCTTAACATGTTTTGAAATTGTTTGTAAATTTAATAGTAACTAAGTTTTACGTATTTAATAAATTTCACGTTTAAATGCATATTAACGGTAAGAAAATATAATAAGCAATTTATATTTTTAAACACAATATTTCTTGTATTTTACTTGTATTCCCCCCCCCCCCCCCTAAAACAATTTAAAAATCGTGAAAACGTTGGGGTATGAACTCATCTCGAATGTGTGTGCTAGTTCGGACGCGAAGTGATTCCGAAGGATCCCCGAGTTAGAATACGTGAAAGTAGCCATATACTAATAATATTTACACACGATATCGTATTTAAATTAATGAAATAATTTAAATAATAATTAAAGTGTTAGACAACACTAAATTTTGTACGAAATACTTGCAAAAACAATTGTTAAAATTGTTTGAAGTGTTCTTGGGTGTTCTTGGTGTTCTTGGTGAAAAACTTGAAGATATGAAGGTTGTTCTTGGTGTTTTTGGTGAAAATAAGAAGATCTAGGCAAGAATCCTATGAATATATAGTGTTTTCGGATGATACTTGAGAGCAAATTTGAGATGTTTACGGCCTAGAAAGTGAGAAAGGAATTGGGTTTGCGGTTGAATACTTATGTATAGAGGGTATTTTCGGTCAAGATGGGCCCAAGAGAAAAGGGTTTTCGGTCCTTCTTATTGGGTTTTGAAGTGTTTTCGGTCCAAAAGTCAACAAGAATGACGGCTTGCGGTTTTGAGTCAAAGAGTGAAGTGATTTCGGTCAAGGTTTTCTAGAAGAGGGCGTTTGCGGTTTGACCTTTCCAAAAGCAAGAGTTCACAGTTTGGTTTTGGGATTAGATTCCCAAAACCGAAAACTACATTTACACCTTGTATTTTAATGATTTAAACTATGTACTAGGCTCTTGTATGAAGAATCGAAACCCTTATTTGAATTAGTGTATTTATTTATAGTTTAAGGCTTAGCATTTTGATTTACGTTGATTTATACTAACCTAAATTAACTTAGGTTTCAATCCATACTTAGTTACTAGCTTATGAACATGTCCCTAAGGCTAATGATGATACAATGCAACTAGGATTGGAATGTGGTTTCACTTATACATGGTTAGAGTTTAGACTTGTTGGATCTAAAATTTTCCAGATTGTGACAGATGGTATATTCATATGTGAATATTACATAGTATATTCACATATGAATATTACAAGGTCGATTCAAAAATATATATAATTTTTATATGTTATTCACATATGAATAACATACAGACTTACATATTTGTTTTGTGTTTTAATAATCATATACTAATTCAGGTGCGAAAACATATTCATATGTGAATATAACATGGTAATTTAGTCTGTGGATTTCATCAAACAGTTTGAATGAATACAAGTTAGCTTTTTTAAAAATGTTTAAAACATGATACTTTGACTATTTAAAACTTACAAAATAGTAGATTGATAGAGAATTATATGAAATTTTTCAAAAAAAAAATGATTTGATGTTTTTCTAACCTTAATTTTGAAGTTTTGTTTGATGATCGATGTTGAATGAATGATATGAAGTGGATCTGTTGTTGATTATTGATGATGTTGATCTAATGATGCTGAGAGTATAATTAATCGTAGATGTTGAAGATATGCTCGTATTCAAGCAGAATTGAAGGTTGGATTGAAAGAACCAAAAACGAATTTTCGTTGTCTACTGTTGAATGGTGTTGATAAACGTGTTATTGACGAAGATCGATGATTGATTAACACTGGATGATGTTGATCGATGGTTTAATTGAAGAAATCTGGATGATTGTTGAAGGTTGGTGGAGAAATTTGGATGATGAACGATCGATTAGGAATGAATTTGAACTGTTATCTAATTATCCACAGGTACGTATCTGTGATTGAAGGTTATTATATCATATTTACAAGTTTGCCGGTGTGTCTTTTATACTCAGATGCTAATTAAATGATTGGCTGAGAATGATTTCCTCGTTGTCAACCTTTTTTTTACTCAATTGAACCCTCCGGCTGACGCTCCATTACCGGTATCAGTGCAAGTGCAAGGGCAGTTAGTAGGGGTTGCCGTAGTAGTCTGGATGGATTGGAACGAAGGGATGAAATATATCTGAATAATATTTTAAAGAAATAAGATCATATTTAAATACAGTAAATATATAAAAGAGAAATGTTAATACAAAAAAGTGTAATTATAATACATATAAGTTTATAAGTTTAAGGGTTATAAATGTAACTATGCAACCGACCCTTTATAAATATCGATCCATCACTAAGATATCATATATGGACACACTTTAAGATTTAGATAAACATCAGTTATTGATAGACAACTACATATCGTTTTGAACCACATTCATCTTGATCATGGGCCTCGCTGCTTCTGTTACCGATAAACCTGAGGTTCGCTTGACGTTATATTGTATTTATGTTTTTGAAAACATACTTTTTTGTTTGTATGCTTGATTTATTTGATAGAACATAACTACTATTTACTGCATCTACGGCCAAAACCCAAATCGTTTTGCTGAATTATGTTGATAGTAGTTTCAAAATGTTGTTAGAGATTGTTTGGGTTCTTTTGATCCTATCAAAACCAACAGCAAAACCTTTATGATGAATAAATTAGTCTTACAAGGACTAGGTAAAATTTCTCAATCGTCCAGTAATAATTCGTCTCATTTTCCAGAAAATAGTTTAATACCAATTAGATATCTCACCTGTGTAGTATAATCGACTCCTGATTTCTGAAACTGAAACATATTTCTCGACAAGAAACATAACATGATGAGTAGAGAATTGATTTGCTTATGGTTTCTTGTTTTCATACAAAAGGTTCAGAGCGAAGAAGAGAAGCTGAAGCACTTGGACTTTGTCGAAGATGCTGTACAGCAAGCAGTTGGTATTGCATCAACAGTATACGATTATGTAAAGGACAAAGTTGGTCCTCTTAAACCTGGCGTTGTGACGATAGAGACTACTCTCAAGAGTGTTGTTGGCCCTGCTATTGATAAGTTCCAAGATGCCAATGTTGAGGCCCTCAAGTTTGTTGATCGTAAGGTTAGCTTTTTATTTTTTTTCTCTTTCATGCACAATCTATCATGTTAATCTTTTTCGGATTCAGTACAACATGTTATGTTTTTTTCACATGCCAACACAAGGAAAAGATCAAAAGAATATGTTCTTTTGCATTCTATAGATAATGATCTTCTGGTGACGTGATTTCAGGTTGACGAGGTACTTCCTTCTGCTGTGAAGGACATAACAGCTACAGCCAAAAGCTTGTCAACTGAGGTGGTCTCCGACGTCAAGAATAATGGTTTGGTGGAAACCGCCAAAGAACTGTTAGTAAAAATCGAGCCAGCTGCTGAGGAATATGCTTCTTCAGCTTGGGAAACTCTTAGTCAAATCCCCCTTCTCACTAAAGTCGCTATGGCTTTTGCACCAGCAGCCACTTTGGTTGCTGAAAAGTACAACGAAACGGTGCAGCAAACAGCAGAAGAAGGGTACAAGGTTTCTTCATTCCTGCCATTGGTGCCCACCGAGAAGATTGCAAAGGTATTCACCATCCCTGAAGCTGAACCAGCGGAGGTTGCTGGAGGAGAAGAAGCTGCAGAGGTTCCTGGGGAAGAGGGAGAAATTGGCGAGGAAGGTTGATTGGCATCGATGTGTATGGTGACGTGGTTTTATGTTCATATTGTAAGGTAAGTGAAAATATATTATGTTGGTTTACGGGGCCGTGTATTTCTTTTGTGAAGTTTTTAAATGTAGTCGTCATGTCACTAGTTTCGGGCTTTCGAAAGAAAATATCTATGTTCATTGTCCCATTTATAATCAACAAAATTATACGTAAGAGTTAAGGTGTGATTTCAAGTTTCTTTTCTTTAATCCCTCTTTATTGTTGTATAGACTTTTATTTCGAAACAATTTGATATAAGCTTAATATATGAAGACCATTAATACCCAAATTCCACGCGATATACAGGACTAGACACCGCCCAATTCCGACAGCCAGTTCCGTAGTTAATCCCTCACAAATTACTAACATAAATCCGATAAGAAAGTTCCTTGATATTTTGCGACGTGCCTTCTTTAATGACATACTGCTTTACCGACAGATGTCAATATAATAAAGATAAGTTCAAAAGTTTCTGAGACAATAACCATAAAAAAAAAGTCGGTTGTCGGGAAGTTTACTCATTGGTTTTATAAGTTTTGCTTTTAGTGCTTGCAGCTTTTTTGTGTTTTCCGTTCAATTTTCATTTGGATTTGTACATCTTCTTTTACTCTTCGTTCCGTTTTCTTTTGCGTTTGCAATTCCCATAACCAAAAAGAAACATATATAACGTAACAAAAAATATATGATTGATAAAACAAAGGTTAGAGATATTTGTCAAAACCAGAAGATATCTTAACTTTTCTTAGAAAGTAACGTGGATATCACATCAAACGAAAAGCACATAAACACCTAATATTTATCGGTTCGATCAAGGTGACATGCGTCATAAGAGCAAAGGGAAGTATTCTTATTCATAAAGTTCTCAAATAGATATTATAAGTATAACCAACAGAGATTTGTCTACTCACTATAAGACTACAAGATACAAAGATTAAGATGCATGAATGAATTAACAAACATACTTGTTTATAGATTATGGATCAGACCTAAAACAATAATAGGTCAAGCTTATCAATCTATAGGCCCATAAAAGATGTCAACCAATCACAATCCGTCATTCAGTTGTTTCTATAACCTTTACCCATGAGAGACATTGCATTAGCACCAAACATGTACACACTACAAGGAAATGAGCAATTAGCGGCGACAAAAGTCGCCGGTAAAGGTCCAGATGTCACCGCTAAAGCTAATAGCGGCGACACATCTTCGGTAAAGAGTCACCGCTACTGCTTCGTCGCTATTGATCAGATTGTCGCCGCTAAAGACAAATGTCGCCCCTAATGCACCTGTAGCCGGTAATACTTCCTATCGCCGCTAAAGAGAATGTCGCCGGTAATAGTGTCACCAGTAATAACGTTTTTCATTTTTTTTTATATTAGCAATTTTGGGTATAATTAATTCCAAATATTGTTATGATTAATTCTATACCAAAAATTACATGACAACATCAAATTAAATACCAAATATTGTTATAATTAATCTAATACCAAAATAAAACAACCAAAAGTTTGACAATTCTAACAAGTAGCAAAGTGTGACAACAAGTATAACATACAGTAAAGCTCCTTCCTACATATCATCATCTTCGTTCCCATCATTTCCTCCTTGATTATTCTGTGATTTAAAAAACGAATAAAGCTCCTCCCTACATGTCGAGTCGTTGAGCAATGCCCGAAGATTTTCCAACTACATAATAAATAACAACATATATAAATTATAAGTTAAATTATCAAACATAAACAAAAACTACCAAAGTACCTTACTATTTCTTGCACTTAAATACAAGATATACCAAAAGTACATTGTTATGTATTGCACTTGGGACAAAAACACAATTACCAAATCCACATGCATTTTGTGACGCCAAAGTACATTGTTGTTTTTAAACTAAGACAAAAAACCAAAGTACATTGTTATTTCTTGCACATGGGACAAAAACTCAAATACCAAAGCTTTTAGAAAATAATCACCACAAAACCAAAATGACCAAATCAACATACATTTTATGATGCCAAACTACATATCTATTTTTAAACTAAGCCAAATAACCAAAGTACATTGCTATTTCTTGCACTTGGGACAAAAACCCAATTACCAAAGCTTTTAGCAATTAATCACCACAAAACCCAAATGACCAAATCAACATGCATTTTATCGCTATTTTTAAATAATCTTGCTTTACCTGTGATGGTTGTGATGATTGTGGTGGTGGTTGCGACGGCTGTGAAATCGGCGGGAGAGTAGAAGGTTTATGGCCACGTCGCTCTCCTAGTACTTTCTCAAAAGCGTCTCTTTCTTGAGCGGGTGTTAACTCACTTTCACCTTGGGTTTGTTCTAAGAGCTCTTCGACTAACCGATTATGTAATTCCCAAAAGTGAGTGACAATTAAGTATAAATAAACATTTAATTATATGATAAAATTATAATTAAATACTTACATATTGTTGTTCCGCCTCAGCAGTAACAAATACACAATCCCTACCGGTATGAGCTTTGCGAAACGTTTCTACTCTCTTAAGGTTCTGTTTAACTTTAAAAATTAGATTATATTTTAAATAAATAATTACATGTATCGTACGTTACCTTCTTATAGCAAGTACTACTATACGAGCTCGACCCCCCACGATTCACGTTTGTTTGCATTTCACGGACTTTTTTGTTCCTGTCTGAAGCAATTTTGTGTTCGTCCGTTTTGAAATACTCAACTGCTTTCTTCCGGTTATCAACCTCCATACCCTATGGAGGGTTGGCTATTGTTCTCGGGATATCTTCATACACTCCGACTAACATAAAATATTCTTTTGCGTCAGCTTTACGTTCTCGATAACTTTTTAACAAAGCTGCTTGAAAAGTCTCTGTCAACATATTAGCTTGTACATCCTGGTACATCTGATCCAAATCAAACTTTGTCTACAAAAAAAAAAGTTAACCAAGTAAAAACCAATCACAGTTAACCATATAAAATATTTTAAAATAAATAATTACCCCTAAATGTTGTAATATGGTGTCATTTATTGCAGGGGAAACTTTTTTCCAAGTCCATTTATCAAAAGGGACCATCTGTCACATTGTTTTTCAACCTTCTCGTGAAAACATATCTTTTGGCTCTCCTACGGGGTCAAATGTTATATCCCTATCATATTCCATGCTAAGCGGTTTGTCCTGGTTCTGTAAGAGCGCTTTTTCAAGCTTTATATTTTTGGCTTTGCCTCGGACTTTCCTACGTGCACGTTGCTCAACTACAAATATAATTAAAAATTATTAGAAACGGTATTTAATTTATAATAACTGAATAAAAATAGTAAATAAAAATTCATAATAAGACTTACAGTCCTGTTCGTGATGACCAGCACCTCTACCACCTGGGAAAGGTGGGTCCTCAGCTCCATCACCCCCGTGTCCACGACCCATAACAGCAGCCATGGTATACACAAACAA